AAAACAATTTGAAAGGTTCTTGTTTAATATCTTTCACTAAGATGTTTTCTGTGGAGAAAACATGCAGCCGTTTTCCCTTGAGAAAAAAAAAATTAATTCGCTTGCTTTTCCTTCAGATTTTCAGTAACGAGGACATGCCAACATAAGTTACAGCGGCATAAGGTTTGACCCCGTTATCAAATACGGCAGATTAAGATTGTGTGTTGCAATTTTTTAAACAGATGACAGAAATAGCTATTGTTCTTTGGAGGCAAAGAAATTCCCTTTCTTTGAACCCCGTGGGGAAGGAAAGAAATTTCATTCCTCCTGTGCTTGCTGCAGCAACAGCCTTTTTTTACAAATCAATTCCCCTAGGAACCACTGTCCAAACTCTGCACCCATACCCTCAGTCTACAAGGTCAGTTCCTGCAGCCGGCTCCAACAGAGAGCACAGGAATTCCCTGCCCTCCTCCCAAGGAATTCTTTCTTTTAAATAAGGGGCAAAAATATCGATAATAAAAATGTTACTGGAAACTGTTTGTCATCTCCGAAAAAATGGAGAAATGAAGTAAAACATTCCTGTCAGGAATCACGGAAACTCATTTCCTTAGAACAGAGCTCTGTGTGTTTGGATGCACTGCATGGGCAGTAAAGTCTTCACGTCCTTCTGCTTAGCCAACGTAACCCAAAAGGTCCCGGAGGTCTTTACACAGCAGACAAGTGGTGAAGTTGCTGCTGCTTTGGGGGTGCCAGCTCCAGGAGCGCCTGGACAGTCACAGCTACCTGTGTCAAACCCTTCTCTTCTAAAATATGGAGAGGCAAACATAATTGCTCCTGAATGGGGAACAAAACAAAAGACAAAAACAAAATGGATGAAAAAACACTCAACTGAAAAGGAAAAAAAAAAAATTAAGCAAAAGGTGACTGAAATATGAAATGTTACGGACAGCTCGCACACACACACAGGTATGACATGAAATTTCTGCTTGTGACTAAAGAACTGCAAACTTGACTACTCAAAGGAGGAGACATCAAGGTAATCCTCGTGTTTATTTATTAGACAATTGTACAAAAGGGAATTTGAAAAAGGATTGTGGGAGATGTAGGGAATAACAAACTGTCCTCTTATCTCTGCCCACACAGAAACGGCAGCACTTTGTGAAACCACAAGCAGATGAACTCAGGGAGGGGGAAAGCTCTGCTTCAGCATCATGAACCTGCTACAACACAGAAAAGGGAAGGAACGACGGCATCCTCCAAAACACAACCGCCGTTTCGAGGGAACCCTCATGCAGCAAGCCTGTTGGGCTATCAGATGTGAGGAAAGATCCGCAGAGAATGAAATACTAATGTGAGCTATGGAAACCCTGTGCAGCAAGTCTAAGAGGAGATGCCGTACTTCGAAGCAGTTCTCCTCTGACGAGACATGCTGCCCGTCTGAATTACTTCTGTCTGTCTGTACGTGCTGATCTCTATTGTTACAAAAATTTCTTGGAAGGCACGAAAAAGCAGAAAGCACAAGTTGTTCTATGGAAGAAAAAGAAAAAAAGGCTTGCTTCACTGAAATGACTTTGAACATAATTGTAGGAGATGCCACTTCTCCTGTTCAAGGCAATGAGAAACCGATGGTGTATTTACAGGCAGACACCCATCCCATGTTGGGTGTGAGCCACCACTGCTCATTTACCTTCCAGAAGTACACCTGCTTAGCAGGTTACCTCCGAAACCATTCTAAGGAATAAGAGTAATACACAAGAAGAGGTTTCAAAGTGTTTATTAATAAATTGTGCTATTCTCAGTCTAGGATGGATTTAAAGCCTCATCCTACGTAAGCCCTTGGCACAGCCTGGCCACCCTCGCTCCACAGCGGGCAGGACACGTGTCCAGCAGTACTCTGGCTCCGTAGAACATGAGTGCGTCCTTCTCTAGAGCTACAAAGGTTACTTTCCCTGTGTTATTTCTACAGCAACCTACGTTTCTCCACTCTTTGAATCTTTACTGATTTTCGATGTTAAAGAAATTCTTTAGTGTAAACTGGGTTGGCCAATGCCCCTTCCACAAAGCTCAGAGCAGGGACAAAATGAACCCAGCTGAAATTCTCAAACTAAGCCCTACAACCAGGCTGAAATATGATTTTTCTTCCAGCAAATGTGTGTAATTTTGAAAAAAAGTGTGCTTTTTGAGAAAATACTTGTAAACTTGAGAAATCATGCCTTATCTTTTTTCTTAGGTATGCAGATAGATAAGGAGAAAAGCTTTGGAATGACTCCATACCACAGACAAACAAAATTTAAAAACTGGAAGGCACTGTTAGTGTAAAACCCCTTGCAGCTTTTATCACAGTGTTCATTAGAAGAAGTTAAGAAACATAGGAACCGAGTTCATTTTAGTTCATACCAGTAAGCAGTGCAAAAATAGCTTATTTAAAAATAAAACAATCTCTCCCTGTCAAAGGTCCTCCCCTCTTTCCTCAATGATGTTTTGCTTGGACAGAACACTTTGTGTACTTTGGAAAGAGGGCATCAACTCCTCTACTCGCTCCTTTGTTAAATATTCCCTTTATGGTACAAGAGCTTGCGAGATCCATGTACACGTAACATGTTTTTACTGGTAGCGAAAACATTTGCAACTAAATCCCTGTGTACCTTGAGCTTCAGAGCACCTCTGTGCCCCCGAGCTGCTGCCAGGTTAACGTCGGAACGCTAGCACCGCTTGAACTGGGCTTACAAGCCACTTTCTGGATTTTCAGATATAACAAGAGATTTATTGAAAAGACATTTGGAACAGCCATTTAACTTAACAATCACCCTTCTTCTGAGCAGAGTTCCCTGAACCGATCTGCACTCTGAGGAGACATGGTCTTTTGCGCACCGTGTGGGGAGTGCCCTGAAGTTCTGAGGTGTCCCTGAGACATACAAGCATTAAAGCACCAGGACGCTTTTGCTAGGGAGGGAAAAGCTTCGAAGCTCTATGGAAGACTACCTGAGTTTTGTAAAACAGTGAAGAGTGATCGTGCAGCCAGGAGCTGTGTTTCTGCAATTGGATGTTACAGAGGTTTCAGAAAATGTTGGCGTAAGAAGAAGGACTATGCACGAACAAATGTGGGCTGGGGCACCCACAGTCAAGGGGCAACTCATGAAGATTCTGTTCAGTTTTATCCACAGCTCAGTAACACACTATGACATTCTGTGGCATCTGAGAGAAATCTTAAAGATGTTTCCTTCTGTGGCAGAAACCATTTCTCTCAGGGCTGCTGAAAAGCTCAATTTTTATGAAAATTGCCCGCTTGCTCTGTTGTGCAGTAGCTCAAGTAGCTCAGGATTCACCAATAGTTATTTTAAAAATCCTGACTCAAAGTAATACATCAGGGTCTACAAATACGAGAAACTGAACACTCTCAGAAGCAGGATAAGGGATCAGGTGTAAGAAATAAAAATCAGTTACAAAGTCCTGTGGACAAAACTTACCAGACCATGTCTCCTAAGACTGTGAAGATCTCATTGAGAACATTGATGTTGAAAAAAACAACAACTTCGTATTCTTTAACATTTTTCATCAGATAATCCTCAAGTAATTTACCAAAGTGGGTGCAATTCCCATTATACAGATGGGGAAACTGAGGCACAAGCTGACACCACAGTTTTCCCAGAACTACATCACTCATCAGCAGACTACAGCATGCACCCACGTGTTCTAACCTCAGCACCTCGCTCTAGCCCATGGACAGCACCTCCTCCCTCACAAAATCACGATATCTGCTAAATACAACACAGCAAATACAAATGTGAATCATGTCACAGATGGTTGCGTGGGTGCACCAATGTGTTTACACATCGTACTTGTCACCTCTGTCCCATCAGTGGGGAAGAAAGCACTTCATACACACAAGTCTTGACAAAAACCAAAATCCTTTTTTCCCCAAGCACCGGGGTGATGGAGGGAGGAAGCAGCAACACTATCCTTCAGCTAGAGAAAAAAGACCCAGCGATAGAACATACAGAGCGTTAGCATTAGAGTACAGTAAAACACCACAAAGCCCCAGAGCTGAACGGAAAGGGAGACAAGACTGGATTCTTCTGAATCTGTCCCCAGGGAAAGAAGAGTCTCAACTGTTCTTTTAACGCTGAGGTTTAGCTGAAGAATGTCAGAAGGGGAACAAAGATTGTCCTGTCCAGAGTGTGTGAGCAGGAAGGGAAAACAGACAGAAAAAAAAAGGTCAGTCAGTTAGCCATAGCAACATCCACGAAGCAGTCAGTCATCAGACATCTCAGATATAACCAACAGATTCGAGAAGCGTTATCACAGCGTTATCACAGCCGGTTAATTCTCACAAAGGAATCTGCAAGACTCTCCCATTGCAAAGAACTCACTTAATGCAGGTATTTAGTGCTCAGTGAGGTGCCTGTCACCTGTACAGCTTAAACACCTAACAGACGTGGCTGTTAAAAGCACAGCACTTTACACACACCTTAGTGAAAACCCTTTTTCTCCAGCAGAAATAAGAGGCTACAGGTTTCTGAAATGCTGCTGGCACTCAGCACTCAGCAAAGCGAAGTCTCCACATTTATTTCAGTTAAAGAAAACAGACAAGGTATTATTTGTGTGCAACTGATGCTTGAATGCAGCATCCCACAGAAGTATCTTCTACTAATTAGTGTTTAAATGTTCTGGAACCATTCCCAGCGTGTACCTTTTCCCTCCCTTTCACAGAGGTAACTGCTGTAAATCAGTGAAATCTAGATGCACGTATCAATCTGTTCAACTGTCGGTTTCTTTTGATGCAAGGGCTTTAAATACCAAAGTCCTATAGAAATAGCCACTCTGCTGTGGGACCTGTAATTAGTGTTTTCTAAAAGTAGTCTTCCACTTAGCAGGTAAGTATTTCTACATAGATCCACACTTTCGGAAAGCCTTTTATTTTTGTAATTAGAATTTAAATGGAAGGAGATACTTGCTGGCATCTTTTCAGGAAAAATACACTTGGCTGCCTCACCATTCTTGCACATAGATATCTCATGGTCGCATCTTGGTAGATATGTAATGTAGACATGTGAGAGCAACTTAGAGTTCAGGCAGGGGGACTTCTGTAAGCTTCCCCAGAGACATTCTCCTTGAACTCTTTCACATTTAAGCAAGAAATACGAGAAAAACAGGAGGGACCTAGACAGTAGCTGTAGCAGATGCAGCAGGCTGGATCTATACGGGACTTTTTCTTGAGTGGCGTTTTTGTTTGCTTTTAAATGTGGGTCATTTCAGTGACCTGCTCTGTATTGCAATCCCCTAAAAATTATCTGAGGAAGCTACAAATAGGGAAGCTGGGATGGAATTAAACAGTTTTGCCCCAGATGAATTTATATAGTCTAGTTCTGCTGGGAGTAAAAGTCTGAAGTTTATCTTAGAGGACCAAAACAGTGCAGGATCTCAAAGTACCAATGATCACTTACAATTCCCTACGCCTCGTTCCGTTGCAATTCACCACTGAGTCCCATGAAATTGCCAAGCAGCTCAATAAACACGCTGTCCTAACAAATCCCAATGGCTCAAATACCTGCAAGTGAACCCATTTGAAAGCACTAGAAAATACTGCATGACTGGCTCAAGAATATTGCTTTTAGAAATAGCTGGGAAATGAGTCACTGGGTCTACCTTGCCCTTTCACAGCAGAAAAGAAAGAAAACAGAAAAGAAGGAAAACAGCACTTACAGCAGAAACACTTATGTTTAGCAGTATAAGAAACCAAATCAATTAATGCACTAGAAGAAAAAATGAAGGAAAACAGGACACATAAAACTGTTTGTGAGACAACTGCTGAATAACAGAAAGTAGAAAGGACAGGAGAGCATAAAATACAGTAATAACTCGACTCTGATGGACTATTTGATCTGTTCCCACCTCTTAGTTCCTTAGGACAAGGAATACCAGAAGACAGATTTCTACCACTGGTCGATAACAAAAGAATTAGGATCTATGCACAGAGAGCTACCATCAGAGAAAGGCCAATAGAACTGTGCCTTGTTGGTAAGACAGTAAAGACATTCACGTAGGAGAATTATTCTGAAGGAACGTGAAAAGCTTTGGGACAAAAATAACACATGCAAAACATCACCCAAATTTTATCCTGCTTTTCAAGCTGTCAAATATCTAATCCTGAGGAAAGGTAATAGTTTTTCCAGAAATACCTTGCCATTTTAAAGGCAGACTGGAAGTGCATTCAGCTGTTACGAATTTGAGGCACAGCAGTAAGTGGATGAGACCTCTGGAAAAATGTATCTGACTTCATTTTGCTCAGGAAGACAATGCAAGGGAAGTCAGAACGATACTGCAAGATACAGCTTACACTTGAACCTTCTAAATTTGTAATCGTTTTGTTTTCATCCCATCTTTCAAAGAAGGCTTCATTTTCTGAAGCATCATACAAAACTGCACCTGGAACATTATATCGAGATAAATACGTACCTGAGGCACTCCAATCCTCCTACAAGCGTCCAGGAAATTCTCCACGTTCCGTCTGCATTTTGCCATTGTAAGTTTAGGCTGCAGAGAAGTAGAGGAGGCAGGCATGCAGTGTTATTGATCGGCTGAATTTTAAAAGGTCTTCATTTTTTGTTTAAATAAAACTCTTAATAAACAGCTTTACCAAAATCATACCACACTGATATAAACCTGTCTAATTCAAAGCAGGCTCTACTGTAGTTTGCTTTTCTTTAGAAAAGTAAGCCCAAACTTCATAGCTAATTTATGAAAAGCTAATTTATGAATGCTGCAAGTTTGGGTTTTTTTAAGAAAATTCTACACTGTGCACTATTTATATACAAGATGTTCTATAAAACTGGCTAACACTTTTAGTAACTGCAGCATGATAATTTAAAAAGTATATTTTGAATGCAACACGTGCATGGCTTCCATGCTGTGATTTCAGAGTGACTTCATGATACGAAACAATCTGGAGCCTGTTCTGAATTACTATGGTATAGAAACACATAAACATCCAACCATATTCCAATTAACAGACAAAAAATATGAAGGCTAGATGAATCCAGAAAATAATGAAAGAGAAGAGAACTTGCTGCTTGTAAGCCTGTTCTAGAGGTGTTTGATGTATCTGTGAATTGCACTCATGGGCATTTTGTCAAGCAACCTTTTTTCTCCACTTAGCTTTCACACCTCAGCACAGATGTACCACGGCACTGGCTTCGCCTGGTTTCTGTTCTGAAAGTTTATTCATCGCTGGTTCAAGCGACACAAGCTTCCTCCTAGCAGCAGGCAGCAGCCTCTGTGGGTTCCATACTTTTCCCCAAGTGGTGGAGTTTCTGCTCTGTCCCTCAAATGCACCGTATCTCCCCAAGAAAGCAGGTTAAAGGTTAGCGCCCTGACTTCTTTCTCCCGAAGGATGAAGGGAATACAAAGATCTCATTGTGACTGAGGGATGACATGATGCCTCTTCTGCTCCTGGAGCCGTGCAGCTAAAGGCTGCCTCTTCCTTGGGATTTATATAACAAAGCCATGATTTAATTCCTAGAGCAGAATACTCAACCACAGAGAAAACCAGGCCGTTGAGAAGATATTCTCAGTGATGCAAGTCTTCTGAATAGCAGCTGGACGTCTTTTCTCTTAGTGATTCTACAATCTGCCCAAAATGTTGGTGTGTCCACTTCAATCATTCTTAAAATAAAGATGATGTCTGCTTGTTCACACCAAGTCCAAGAGGGAGGAACCACGACAGTGCCGTAGGCAGCCCTATAAGTTCCAGCTCTGATTCCAACCAATGCGGTGACTGACTCCAAAATAAGGGAAAGCAAACACAACGCACGTGCTTCAACTTCTTCCCTCAGGAACAACCTTCTTTTCTTTTTAACCTTACTCATACAATTTAAAGGTGCATAACAAGCAATCTGCCTGTCCACACTACTTCTAAGCAGCTACTCCTACATATTTTCACTGAACTTTGGCTTGCACAAATACAGATTAGTTAAATAATCTATCACTATTTCACAGTTCTCAACCCTTCTCTCATTCTGTGCTTTCCCTATGTGATACTCAGCAATACACCCAAGAAATAGATCGTCACCGCTTTCCAGACACACGGCAGTCAGGCAGGGTAGAAGAAACAACTTCAGAAAATTTCAAACTTCTCTGTATTCTTCCTTCCTTGCGCTCAGCAGGGCACCTGATGCAATCTTTTTCCCTATTATCACAAAGGTGCGATTGGATTTGTTTTGTCCAGGAGATGCTGTGCTCCAAGTAGCTCAAGGGTGCTCTGCTAAAATTTCTAAGCAGAGGAATGTGTAGTGCTGTAAAATGGACATAGGAATCAACTTGGCTTCTCTGCCTGTTTTCACCGTCTTATGTAGTGGGATCCTAATGGTTGTGGACTGTGTTATATTTCCCTACTATCTGTTTTCCTGAACTTCTTGGATGTTTTGATCTTTTGAAATAGCCTATTTCAGTTTTCATGCCAAATCGTCTCTTATTTCATTACTTTTCAAGTTAACACAGGGAGTACTTGAAAATGTTAACTTTTTTTTTTTTTTTTTTTACAATCTGTCTTAGAACTTCGTTTAAACAAACCAAACCTACGTAAAATTTCTTTTAATGATGTTATACACCTTTTTTAGACAGAACAGATGGTTACTCTTTTGTCATGTTCAGTCACAGAGGAGAATTTAGCATTTGTCTGCATTACAGGACTTTGCTGGATTTGAGACACCTACAAAATACTCTCATTATTCTATACTTACAACAGCAGGTGAGGGGACATGAATGCTGGGAACAGATCGGGGACGCACGTGATTAGCTAAATGGCACAGAACAACACCGTCAGTGAGAGCTGCTCCGAGATCGCTGGGCAACGACACCTTCAACCGCGACTCGATGTTCTGGAGAGAAACGAACAGAAAGTGGCAAAAGTAAGAGCTGGTTTCCTCCAACTGCTGTGTTCTGCAGAAAAGGTTACAAGAGGCAGAGCGGTTGCATTACAACTCCCTCTCCATCCTGGTGACATTTCCAAACAGCTTTCTGACTAACACCAAGGAAAGCTCTCTGCACTTCTGTGGCCTAGAGCTGACCACGATCTGGGAGCAACTGAGTTCAGCGATGAACAGTTTTCATTGTAGGGCATGGGGGACTAACACAAACATTATTCAAAAATAATGGCAATCGAGGTCTAGGAACAGTATCCCTAATCCTACGTGTTCCCAGAGCATGGTTCAGCCAAGTGAAGAAAAAATAATTGTCTTTGTGGGTTGAAGGACACCAGTTAACAAAAGTCAAGACAACATTTTTCCCTGTAAAGAAAATCCTGAACGACTTGGCTGAAGTTTTTGTTGTTTTTTTTTTAAAAAAAGAAAGATGTAGTCAAGCATTTCCACAAGGGAATGAATAAAAATTCAGTTCGCTCTGTGAATTTCACTGAGTTGTTATACTGTATACAAATTTTTGTTAAGTACCACGAAAATAAAATAAAATAAATTTAAGCTTACTTGGGAAGCTTACCAGGCTACATGAAAAGCATTCTGAGATAACAGAAGAGAGGCTCTGCTGACAGGACCAGTTTTTGTTTTATTTAAGCTAACCTTCTCCTTTTAGAGAAAGGAGATTGTCTTTAACTGAAAATTTGCAAGGAGAAGGAATTCTCTCTGTCCACCTGGGATGCTTATGGCTTTTAAGATCAGCTTTAACAAGTCAGAAGCCTTATCTCTTGGGAAAGTTCAAACAATTAGAACAACTCAAGATATTCTTTCCTGCTCTCCAGACCAAGGCTGGGGCAAAGCAGAGTGGTACCTTAAATGCCATGTGGCATGTTCAGTCTTTGTGTGTATTGTCACTGTACCCAGGCACAAACTAGGGGTGTGGTGGCCCTGAACAGACAAAAAGCACAAGTATAAGGAATATTTGGCCCTTAGATGTTCTGCACTAAACTAAGAATAAAGCAAATATCAAGAGACAGATCCAGGGCGCACAAGGAAACCACACCACCAGCAGGACTGGCAGGAGTGTCTGTGCTCCACCTGCTTGTCTGTGGCCTTTACTGCAAAGAAGAGTTTTAAAAAAGAGATTCAAAGCAAGACAGTGAGGCAACTTTCCAGGGAGTTCCTTATAAGTGTGAAGACTGATCAGGAATAAAGAAAGCAGAAATTCATTTTAAAAGTAGAGATCACCAGACACTCAGAATCAAGAGTCAGCACTGATTATTTTACAGAATTTTAAGCTAAATTTATCCACCACAAAAAACCTAAGTGAACACCACCGCCTCCGTCTGAAGGAACCACTCAGACTGTACAACGCTGTTTAATTTTGCCCAAGCGTGCACCCCATTGGTTCAGTGAACTCGGTCCAAAACACAAGGACAGATTTAGCAGGGTGCACACAATGCATTTACTAGGAAATCCACACAGAGGCTCCTGGCAGCACTTACCTTACGCAGCTGCTCTATCAGCTCCAGCTCCTCCTGTCGCTGTTTGGAGTTTTGTCTTACTCTAGGGTCTGCAGAATCATTAGCAGGAGACAAGGCACGGGTAGAAGATGAAGTAACAGCTAAAAAAGCAGCATGAAGGGAAAAAGTATGAATTGCTAGGCACGGTTTGGCTGACTGTCCTGCAGCGCTGTACTCCACACGCACACACAAGGCTCCAAAATGGGCACAGTCAGCTCCTTTGCACAAACCTGTTTCTTTCATTTGATTTTTAATCAAATTAATGATCTACTAATCTAAATGAGGTGTTCTTTAACACACTCTCCTTTCTGTTTAGGGTCTGTTCTTTCTGTTTATCTGTTGGATAATAATAAATCACAAAGGAGGACAGTTTTTTTGCTGGATGGAGTATGCCGAAACAGTTCAGTCTTCCTACAGAAGCCACAATTTTATTACGTGCTGCTGCACAAGGCAAAATTTATCAAGCTACCCTCACCAGTTGCTGAAAGCTTTTGTGGCATTTCCTTGGTACCTTTTTAGGTTCCCCTTAGGAAGAACAGATTCCCACAAATGTTTGCTATCTAAAACAAAAAAATTGCTTATTTGCGAAGTATTTAATGCCACGTGTTTACAAATGGAACTCAAAGCAGTTTGATGATAATGACCTGAAATAACAAAACAGTGCAAAACCCAGGTAACGCAGATGTTAATATAACATAGCAAAACTGGCTAATTTCTGAGCTACATAACCTACCTTTGTTCGCTTCATCCCTGACAGCTGCTCGGAAAAGGAAACTCTCAGGTCGCTGGGAAGGGTTTCTATAGGAAGGCAGGGCTGCATGGCCAGGATGTGGAGGGGAAAGGTGGACTAAACAAACGTGGAAGGGCGCAGGAAAGGAAAGGAGGAAGAAGGAAACTGTTAGAGTTTAAATAGGAAATGGGTTCAGCGATGTGGTAATTAAAAAGAACAATCCAAAAATTTTAACGTAATAACGGCAAAATAAATCACAGCCATGCATGATAAAAGCGCAGAGCACGAAAAGGCACTTCCAAGGCCACTTGCATGCAAAGCACATTCCACATACCGATTCCAACAACTGCTCTGACTGTTGCCAAAGGCTGCACAAAGGCCTAAACCAGCCAAACCCTACGCTCTGCCCAGGGACACGCTTCACCCCTCTTGCCTCTTCCCTCACACGTTTCTAAGGCGACCCAAACAACTGGGCAGCCACATACAAAGATGGGAACGCGTGCTCTCTTCTCCTCACAGTACAAACAAGCAAGCAGGCATTTTGACCTTATTTTTCAGATTTTTTTTTCCTTTCCCTGTTACCTGTTTGAGTGGTAGGTGAGCCGGGGGAGATGGTAGATCTGTCATCACTCTGTGGACAAGAAAAGCAGAAGAGTATAAATGATCCTAATCTGAAAAAGCTGTGACTACATTTTAATTTGTTGTGCTTTAAAATAGGCTCCATCCATCTAGATGGTTTTTTTTCAAATAAAACCAAACAGGAATGTGAAAAAACACAGTATATTGTTCCCCAAGCCTCAACTCTGCAGAAAGCGACAGTTTTTTCTTTTGCAGAAATGACACAATTGCTGTTTTTCTGACCAAGAAGAATGATGAAACAGCACTGACTGTGCAATGACAGATCTTTGTTTACTCTTCCTTCCAAGCAAAACTCTCAAAGTATTCTTTGCAAAGGGGACACAGCCAAACAGATAATCAAATAACATGTGGAGCTTGCACCACAGTGGCATCAATAAGGATCTACCTCTGATACCTTTGCTGATAAAAAACTGCTCTTTACTGAATGTCACTCTCCTCAGTGAAACACGCTGTGGTTTGATTATGCTGCTTACAGAGACTAACTGTGATGAATGCATTCAGTAAAGCAGTTTCCACAGGAGAGAAAGAAATACAGGATATCTGTGTTTGAAAACAAACTGGCAGAGAATACAACAAGAGTATTTTTGATGAACTCAACTCAGTCGAGAGCAAATGATCTTGTACAGAAAAAGCAACATCAAAGACAACGAAGAAGCCCTGGGAGCAGAGACTGGTTACCGTGATTTTATAGCCTAGGCTTCCTGTAGATACAGCCCAAAGCAAAGATGAGGTAATACCTACCCCAGTTTAATCAGGTAAATTGGATTCATACCCTACCTGAACTTCTGCTTAGCAGCTGACAGACTAACACCTGTCAAAATAGATGTGTGGATCCAAGAGTTTTTTGTTGGCTTTACTGGTGAATGATAATAGCAAGAGATACCTGGACATGGCTGAAGGTAGAGGCATTGGGCAGGGCAGTAGCACAACTTTCTTGATTCAACCCTGAGAGTGACTGAATGTGGAAAGAAAGAGAAGAAAGAGAAGGGAGCAGCAGCGTTAGCGAACAGCTGACAGGTCATGCACAAAGGTGGAATGCAGCAGACAAGTTAAAAAGGAAGAGATGGTCATGATCACAAGCTCAGAAACACTCAACAGGCAACAGATCCCTACTTGCTGAACTACAGTTAAAGCCTTCCCACACCCTGAACTTTCTGGCTGATAAGCTTGGGAGGTGCAATATTTCTTTCACACACAACACAGGGACATCAAAAGCAGAACTCAGATCTGTAAGTGAGGTAAAAGCTTCTTTAGTAACACCTAATGTTAACAGCTACACCACCAGACTAAGGGAAATTCTACCCTACAACAGCTCTGAGGCACTACTCAGAACAAATAGCTTACTAGTGTTTCAAGCATTTATAGTAAGTTATTTTCCTATGAGCTTTGTAAAATCAGAGAATGGGCTCAAGAATGCACACTTTGTGCCCACCACAAACACCTAACGCTGAACCTTGTGAATCATACGCAAGGTAAGAACGATTTCAAGGGTGGAATCTAGCTCTCAAGGAAGGTGTCATGTGAAGATTTATAGTGTTGTCACGAATCAGGTGCAGCCAGTTTCAGTTATAACCAATATCAAAACAAACCAAATAACCAACTTCTCCTGTTTACAGAACAGGAGCTCCAGCAGCCAATCTGTCACTGACAGGTGGATCTACGAGGCCAAATTCTGTTCCTTACTGAAAGTACAACCAAAATGTTAACATCTGAGGACTGAATGGCTCAAGAATAAAACTATACTTTATGAAACAGCATTCAAATAGCCAAGTGACAGTTCAGCACAGGAAAAGAACACCAGACGACACCTAGAAATTCTACAGATGTGAACAACATGCTTGGGAGTGTCAGTATTTAAAATTATTTGCAACTGTTCTGCCCCTTCAGAACAGCACAGCCAGGAAAAACTAGAAGGAGATGTTTTCCTCAGGGCAAGCTTTAAATAAAAACATCCACGCGAACTTCACAGCTGATCCTTAAGACAGTCTCTTTCACCTGAGTAAAAATCATGGGCTTGGGTTTTTTTGTTTCGTTTTAAAGAGTTTCAAAACATCACTTCAGCCAAACATTAGCTAGTATACAAGAACAGTAAAATCAATCAGAAGTAGGTGGCCCGTGACCTAACCCGAATTGTTTATTCCTGGAAGGAAAAAGAAAGACAACGTTGACACAGACTACAAGAAGTCATCACAATCCACGCACCCAGCAGCGGGCAAAGGGAAGGGGGACACGGCACACCACGGGCAGGACAATCACAACAAGCACAACAGCCACACACCGCATGCTCTTCACCTGTTTGCGAGTCCCTGGCCGCCTTTTAATGGTATTGGTGTTACTGTCAATCTCAAACACAAAGAGAGGCTCAAAGCCATTCTGTCAGGGACAGCAAGGGAAGAAAGAGAGGGAAGAAAGGAAGAAGTGAGGCAAAGAACAACTGTAAGAAAAGGTAGCCACGAGAGAGAAGGAACAAGGATGCTGCGGTTCAGACGTACAACACCCCACTGCACGGGCTGCGCTTGGCCTCTCGGTCTAGTGCTGAGGTCAGAGAAACCTGCCTGCGCCAGGAACAACCGTAGGTCCCTGGCCTGCCAAAGCAAAGCCCAACTAGAACGCTGCACGAACCAAATAAGGATATTTTAAGGAAACTGGATTGTTAAACATCTGAATACACAAATGGATGCCAACGGTTGGAGAGAAAACTCCAGAGTCAAGTTGGCATAATTCAAGTCCTGCTTCTTTTACCCGTATCATTATTCTTTGTAACACACTCGTGCCTAGCACCTTTAAGCCTTAGCTTAAAACGTTTCAGACGTCTCACGTACTCACAGTTACGTGATGGCCTTGGGCCATGTTTGAGCCAACAACAAGCAGGCACAACACAAAGAAGGGAGCACGAGGCAGCGATGACACCAAGGTAACGGAAGGACGAGGTCACACCCGCTGCCTCGAGCTCACCAAGTGTGCCACAGGCTTCACAACACGGAAACGGAGCAGTGCTTTGGAGAGGATGTTTGAGGTTTTTCTTCCTCCCACAGTACTACGAACTTTGTAGGGGACAGTACGGGAGAAAACAAGAAGGGATTTGAGGAAAAAATGAGATTCATAAGCAATCAAGGCTGAAACCATTAGCCAAGCCTGACGCCTCGATGCTACCCCAACAAGAAACCTCCATCGTAATGAACGGGACTCCCCGTGTGAGAACAGTCAGCAGGATATGACTAATACAACATGTTGAGGTATAAAACACATTTTCTCATAGAGGCCGGTGATTACATTTCTTCTGCACCATTTATTTAGTCTATTACGAGTTAACACTTAAGAAACCCACCACGGTGTGCAATGCAGTCCTGCGGCCCAACTCCACCTCACTTCTAATCACAAGCACGGAGAAGAAATGCACAACTACACGGAACTATTAACACCCACAGAGAGTACAGGTTGTCCTTTTGTGAACTCTAATGGACTGTCTTGAAACTGGCTTCAAATGGAAGTTAATGGTCAGCATAACCTATGCAATGTGAACCATATTTTCATCTTAATTTGTGATAAAAGACAACAAGGAGAATACAAAAAGAAACATGACACAAGATTCTAAAACATTCACAATTTATATTTTGTTTTTAAGAAAAATTTTGTTAAAGCAGTTAACAATACCAGAAGGAGGGAAGTAGCAAAGTAAAAGAGAGCTCACTTGCTTTCTAACTATATGTTAGACTTACTACTTTTTTTAATCTCTTCCTTAGATCTGAGCTGAAAACGTTTTGTTTGGAGTAAAAGAAAAGCAAATGCTCGGTTTCGAAAGCTCTGATGTAACGAGGGAAATGCTGAACAAAAGATCTTTTACTACACCTCTGCATAATATTCTCCTCCTCTGCCACAGTTTTATTCCCACACCATAAAGCTTGAACAATCAGTGGAAAGTCTAGCAGAATTTTTTTTGTTTTTGTTGTTTTTTGTTTGGTTGGTTTTGGTTTTTTTAATTATTTTTTTTAAACTAACCTATCTGCACACTTCAATGCCCAAAAGCTTTGTAAGGTAAAGTTTACAGTACTGCACACAGTCTTTATGCAGAGACAGAAAAAGACAGGGAGGAAGCCACATAAATGGAAAATGCGTACTGAAAATATCATTAGCAAAACCAAATTTGATATGAAATGTCTCTATGCTTTGGTGGAGGAAAAAAAAAATATCCTGGGAAATTAGACCTACCTAAATTTCAAATCCTTATGTGCAGGGAAAATGTCAAATAAAACGTAGAATATAAAGAGGTGAATAATTCAATCTCATATGACAGACTTTTTTAAGCAAGCTGACAAACACTTCCTTGTCATTCAACAAGTTTTTACTACAGAAAATATATTTATGGATACAAAAAGCTAGCATGGGCTTAATGTTCCAGTTACAATAACTGCCAGAAAGAACTGCCCTGGCATATATCATCATTAGACACAGTGTGTATTTTCACTATAAAATAGAGCTGCAGATTGTACTTCAGCAGTTCAGAAAACCCAGTATTTCATACACTATTATTGCTTAGGGCTCCTTAAAAGAGCAAGGAATCAAGAGAAAAATGAACAGAAAAATGACTGCTTTCA